GCCCAGTGCTCTTCAACATCTTTATCAATGATTTGGATGAAGGAATAATTCTCAAATTTGCAAATGACACCAAATTAGTAGGAATAGCTAATACCCCAGAGGGCAGGATGAAAATTCAAAATGATTTTAATAGATTAGAAAGCTGGGCCAAAGCTAACAAAATTAATTTCAACACAGAGAAATGTAAGGTACTGCACTTAGGGCAAAAAAATGAAATGCATGGATATAACATGGGGGACACCTGGCTTACCGAGACTACATGTGAAAGGGATCTAGGAGTCCTAGTGGAACACAAGTTGAACATGAGTCAACAGTGTGATGCCGCAGCTAAAAAGGCCAATGCAATTTTAGGCTGCATTAGTAGAAGTATAGTACCTAGATCAAGGGAAGTAATAGTGCCAATGTATTCTGCTTTGGACAGGCTCCACCTGGATTACTGTGTCCAGTTCTGGGCACCACAATTCAAAAAGGATGTTGAAAAACTGGAGCGTGTCTAGAGGAGGGCGACTAAAATGGTGAAAGGTCTGGAAACCGTGCCCTACAAAGAATGACTTAGGGAACTGGGTATGTTTAGCCTAGAGAAGAGACGGTTAAGAGGTGATATGATAGCCCTGTTTAAATATTTGAAGGGATGCCATATTGAGGAGGGCGCTAGCTTGTTTTCTGCTGCCCCAGACCAATGGATGCAAGCTGCAGGAAAAGAGATTCTACCTCAATACTAGGAGGAACTTCCTGACAGTGAGAGCTGTTCGACAGTGGAACACACTCCCTCGGAGAGTAGTGGAGTCTCCTTCCTTGGAGGTCTTTAAGCAGAGGCTGGCTTGCCTTCTGTCGGGGATGCTTTGATTTTGAGTTCCTGCATGGCAGGGGGTTGGACTGGATGGCCCTTGTGGTCTCTTCCAATTCTATGATTCTATGAAATACTGCAACTTCCAGTGACATCCTGGCAAATTTGCCCCATCTGGGAGAACACTAAGTTGCATTGTCATTTTCTTTTAAAACAATGCAATCAGATAGCCAGCTTTGCATTTCTAATACTACTATGCTAACAATATTATTAATAGTATTACAATTCCAACATTGCTGTAATCTTGCACTCCCTTAGGAGTAAGTCTCATGCAATTCAATGGGACTTGCTTCTGAGTAGGCATGAAGAGAATTGTACACTTATATTCATTTCCTTCTCCTTAACCATGTTTGGTATTTCATTGTACTCTACTGTGTTATGCTTCTGGATCTGAGAAAATGAGGCATGTGCAGACAATTGGATGTAAAAAGAGATCCAATGTATGTACTAAGGATGGGGAGGGGGGGTAATGACCAGATAGATAGCCCATGTTGTTTTCCTTTCTGTATTCTCACAGATCCATTTATTTAGTCCCTTTTATCTCTTTCCTGCCTGTTTAAGTCATTCCTTTTCTCTTCAGTCTCTTTCTTCCCTTCTTCTGAGAAGCCATATGGGTTTTAAGCCTCAGTAATGGCTACTAGATCATTCCCAAACATGGGAGTCAACTTTAGAAGTTTCAGTAACAAGATACAAATAAACTCTTCTTTATATTTTCTTATCTTCAGATTGATTTCCTGAGACAATAAATATATGGGGGGTTAACATTACTAAAGCATCCAGAGTAATTACTGCTGTTTATAATTATTCATCTATTTGTGCTCTTTAGCATAAATGCCAGATATTCTAACACAGACTGCCATGCTGCTTTGTTCACTGCCCTCGGGGAAACTCTAGGTTAGATTTCTGTCTTGTTACCTCTGTTTATTAAAAACAAATATCCACAGATCAGAAGAAGACTATAAACACCACATCATAATTTCTGTAACTGGAAATATATTACTTTATTCTTAAAGCCCAGGGGTGTTTCCAAACTGATGGCACTTACCATTATATCAGTCAAAATACAGCTATTCCATCTTCCCAGCTATTGGGCAGCTATTCCATCTTTTCCTCTTTAGCACCTATTTTCTTGACAGTAAGAAAAAACATGGAAGAAGCCATGGGAAAATGTGAGAGTTAAAAATGAAAGCTACAATCCCAGGAATGTAGAATCCTGGGAATGAGACAGGATGATAAAACAGAACAAAAGTCTTGTCTAGAGACACCTCCAGTGTGTGCTTCTTCCCAGATTCAAGCAGGTTTTATGCTACCCTACAAGGTTGGCCCTACCATTAGACAGAGTGAAGCAGTTATTCATTTCATGTACTGTTATTGTGTTTAGACTGCTAGAGATGAGGAGAGGTGCTTGATGGTTTTTCTGCCCCTTCTGCCAAAACAACTTGCCAGAACAACTTTCCATAGTATACACACAAGCAGGAAAGAAACAGGGGGCATCCTCCTGTTACTCTGCTGGGTTGATGACTATCTTTTCATGGTCCTGATATGTTACAGTTTAGCAATGTTCCCCATCCTCATATACACACCCACACCAAAATACACCATCAAAAAAGAAATTTTGAAATCCTTTCTGTGTTTTGATGTTTTTGCTGTGTGCCTTCAAGTAATTTCCAATTTATGGTGGCCCTAAAGCGAATCTTGGCAAGATTTGTTGAGAGGGGTTTGATATGGTTTTGCTCTGAGACTGAGTTTGACTTGCCCAATGTCACCCAGTGGGTTTTCTTGGCTGAGCAGGAATTCAAACCCTGGTCTACAGAGTCATAGTCCAACACTCAAACCATTGCACCACACTGGCTCTCTCTTTTGTGGTTTTAAACAGTTGCAAATCAGCAGGGCAAAGCCTTCAAAAGATAAACATAGCTCGACACCTCTGGAAGCATCATGCTATCATTCTTTTGTGCAGATAGCACCTCTAGCCATAATTAGCATGAGGAACACAAAAAAGTAATTTTTTTTGAACTATAGCTTCCCCATCCAGCTTTTCTGAGGTTCACTTTGGCAACCTGCCCCCTCCCAATTTGCAAACTATATTAAAACACAAAATGGATTTACAGCTTCTTCTGTTATTATGTCCATGCTGCTTAAAAGCTGTCATCCAAAAAGTATCTTTTACACGCTTTCTTAACACTACACACACACACACACTTTCACACAAACAGGTTACAAGCTTATGCGGACTTACTCAGGTGTAAACCCTATTTAACCCATTAGGACTTACTTCTGGGTAAACATGAATCTCTTATTGCCAGGCTCTAGCTATATTTGTTTTGCATCCTAGATGCACTGGAAAATATTCTACTATTAAAATATTGACACAGCAGACAAACATTTGCCTTCATATTCATAAGCTGTTTGCTCAGTGGAAACATTTCACTAAATGACTGTGAATTTGATAGACAGCAGTTGCTCAAATCTCTTACCAGCATTTGGAGAAACTAGTTCCACTGGAATCAATGGGATTACTCCATTGTAAATGGTTTGAAAATTGGTTGCCAAGTTTTATACTGAGTCTAACATGCATATACTTCAAATAAACACTTTTTTTTTTTGCCTGAAACCCTAGTATAATTTTAATTTTAATTTTTGCATGAAAATCTACTGTAATACAAACAAAATTCTCACATTGCTTTCTAAAGGATTAAATGTGTATGTGTAAATACACATGTGTGAATATAAACAGTTACTTGTTTTATTTTTTAAAAATAAACCCTCTTATACCAGTGTTCAGCTTATCAGATACCCAGACAGAAACTGGTATCAAATAAAGAGAGAAATAAGGCAAAGCAACATTCCCTGACAAGAGGGACTCCAGTTTGCACAGAGGCTACAAGAAGAGCAGGAGAAATCTGGCAATCTGGCCAAGATCCTTTCCATTCCATATCCCCCCACCCATTGTGGTGCCCAGAGGCAAAATCATGAGAGAGGAGGCGCTGACAAATAATCCACAGATGGAATTTAGGAGTGGGGTAGAAAAAAGGCCATCACTTTTATTGGTTATATTGTAGAAGTTTCAGTCCAGGTGGGATTATATCCAGGCATCAGCCAACCTTGTTACCCTATGAATCACGCATGCAGCCAAACCCTTGAGTGACTGCAACTGGGATGCCACATTGGTATAAACCTCAGTATGGATCCCCATCACCTGGGTGATGGGTGTAAATAGGTACACACATCTCTGAGGTAGGTGTGTCTCACGTAGCCTTCATATACATGTCCCCTTAATGGCATGCACTAGGTAAAACACAGCCTGGCATGGTCTACCCACATACCTGCATCCAATCTCACACCAAACCACCAACAAAGGTGTCATAAAGTTTTTACAATCCTAAAGCAAAGGGAGGTTTGGATGAAGAACACAGCTTGATTGAGGCTGGGTTGGCAGGAGCTAGGCATCTTGACATATTGAGACAGATTGTCAAGGATGTTGCAGCATCTGCAAGAGGTCTCACCCTCGCACAAGACAGAGGGCTAGTCTACATGTCAGTGTATTATGCAAACTGCTGCAGATTTTAACACATTTGCATCAGTGCTTAATAGTCTTCATGTTCCTGTGTAAATTCACATCTATTTGCCCTCCCTCATCAAAAATGCATAATCATATGAATTCATGCTAAGCAGGTGGACAGCCATACATTCAACAATGCACATCCTCATGGATACTCACAGATACTCCAGTAAATACTGTGATTTTTTTTAAGCAGAATTTAGGCATTCTCACTGACAAAATTCCACCAAATCCTTCATGTGTGGACAGATCACAGTTTGTTTGATTCAAATGAGGAGTATGTTAATCATGTAGAAGCCCAGAAACACCAAGAGCTTTGGGGGGGGGGAAGTTTGGGGTGTCATGGTTTCAGCAGTTTGTGCAAATTGTCTCTGGACGTTTTCACACGGGGGTCCCTAAAGCCGGCTGGAGCCATTCCGGAACGGCTCCTGCCGCTGATTCTGGAATGGCTCCGTCGGCAGCAAGCTAATTCCTTTTGCAACCCGGAATTACCTTTCCGGCGCTTTTGCCGGAGTTAGCGTTGGTTCTGCCGGAGTGACGCCGGACTTAGGGCTCCGTGTGTTTGAACATACGGAGCGAAAAGCCGGACTGACGCAGGGATGGCACCGGAAGGGGCGGGGTTTGCCGCCGCGTGCGTGTGAACACACGGGAAAAGGAGCCGGAGTGGGGCCGGACGGAGGTAGGATTGCCTCCTCAAAAAGCCCCGTGTGAAAACGTCCTCTGTGCAGTACTTTATGTAGCCAAGTCCTTAAGAACTAGCATCATTTTATGTATCTAGCTAGACACACATACATAGCAAGCAGAAAAGGCAGATTGAGTGGTCAGAAAGACACAAATAACCCTTCCAGTGCTATCACTTTTCCAGAGACTGTGCAAAAAATCAACATTTATAGCATAGTTCTAAATGTTTTACAGTTATAGAAATGCACATAAACCAGACTTGAATAATGTGCAAACTCTTTCATAAACCAAACAACCAAAACAAAATAAAAGTTACAGTTAGGAAAGGGGTTGTTATTTTTCCACATTTTAAAGTTTTTCATCAGGATTAAATCATGTTATACCTTGACCTTTGCTTGCTATATTAGCCTTTTGGACCATTCTATTTTTAGGAAATTGATATGTCCAAGCAATACTAATATCAACTTAACTAATATTAACATCATGAACTCTAGTGATTGCTGGCATTTAAACCCAAGCAGTTGTTGTTTTTTCATTTAAAACCAGTGCTCAATGCAGAAAATACATTTCCTTATACATACCACATGGCAAATGAAATGTTGTAAACCACAAAATTCATAACCACTTCTATAGCCTAAAGCAAATAATTTCCACACCAGTAAGAGAACCAGACTGCACAACGTATTAAACCTATTTTGTATGAAGTCTCTAGAGACCAAGTCCTATGAGGAAAATTTAAAGAACTTTTAGCCTAGAGAAGAGATGGTTAAGAGGCAACATGATAGAATAATGTTTTCTTTAGCTCCAGAAGTGAAAACACAAGCCACTGGGCTAAAATTACACAAGAAAAGAGGTTGAGACTAAATATTGGGATGAACTTCCTGATGATACAAGCTGTTCAAACAGTGAAACAGATTTAGAAGGTGGATGTTTCTTCTCCTGTAGAGCTTTTTGAGGAGAAGTTGGATGGCCACTTATAGGGATGCTGTAGTTGTGGATTTACTGCATCAGCTCAGAGGCAGGGTACCTTCCCAACTCTGTCATAGGTTGTGTATGTTCTGTATATCCTCATCACTGAAGGCTGAGGTACCAAGAGTGCATAATGAAGGCCTATTTTGTCCCCATGATTATGTTTTCCACAAATGTAGTAGTTTACCCCTCCCCACAATAGAAGCAAAGGTCCAATTCCTTTATATGGTAGATAGTAAAGTGCAAATTAGATGTACAATTGTGGTAGGAACTAAACCTGCTCCCTCTCATTAAATAAAGCCAGTGCCTAACTTCATAGCCTCTTCCTGGGTTGTATCTATTGGTCATCTCACTTGTTATAGGCTTTCTGGAGAATGAAATGGAATTGGGGAACTGGCTTTATTTAGATCAGATCGTGGTGTATTATATCAAAAAGTAGCTATAGTTATACAGCTGTCCCTTGTGAGTTAAACATTCACATGTCTGATTATTCCCAGATTGTATTTTCCCCTGCCACTGGGGAAAAAAAGTTCTTTGTAGACATTTGTAGGTCATTCACTATCCTATGGTCAATTTCCACTGGAGGTTATCACACTGGAGGACCTACTGATGCCTAGAAAAGTATTGTATCGGGTAAAAAAATAGCAGACCTATATTCATGTTTTTTTTTTAAAAAAAACGTGAGGAAGGAAGCTGTGTCCCTAACCCCCAACAAAAGTTAAGGGTTGACTGTAGTTCCAAGGCCCACAAAATAGTTGGTTGTTGTTGCAGTGGCATGCTTTACAAGATAACTTCTGTTTTCTTCATTTTTCAACAGTAACTAAATGATTTACTTTTAAGAAACATCTAAATGCTATAAGTCATGGACATGTGATGTAAAACATTATATTCTTACCAACAACATAATCAGTTCAACACCTATAACAGAGTTGAAGCACCACCACAAAGCCTAGCATGTGACAGGACTGGAACCATGTGATATATCTTCTCTGCTGTGTAGTGGGGCCACACCCTAACCAAAAATGTGCAGTTTTATCACAAAAGATGTGACACTATCCTTCGTTAAGTTAAAATTGCAATGTGGTTATACCTTTAAATTGAGAAAAGGATTAATTAAATATTAACTAGTGACAAATGACCAAATACTTCCAAACTCTGATTTAGACATATTTAAATAAGATGTGTTGTTACCTAACGTTGAACCGAGTATTCAAGGACAACTTGCAGTTCAATAAAATTAAAATAAAATTAATCCATTAGAATGGCATAAAGCCAAAGAGCAAAGTCTTTTTTCCCAAATCCACAAATTTTGCTTTATGAAATTCAGATGGCAATTTCATTTAATTTTCATAACCCACTGAGGTGACAAAGCTGACAATGAAACAAATGAAAATGTCACAAAATTAATTGCCATGTGCTGACATATCACAAAGTACCACGTCAAACAGTGAAGCAAATGTCTGGATTTGTTTAATCTGCATTTTACATGTTAATTATGTAGTCTGCAGTTGGCTGATAATGAATCACATGCAGAAGGACACATTACTTGATTGGAAGACTGATGAATGTAAAACTCCAGGGGTTTGCTAAGTTGGTTTGTTACAGTTCTGCTTTCATTTTCACAAAGACTAATTAAATGA